CGCGTCGGATTCCTAGCTTTGGGTTATTTTGAAGGGCCTGAAGGGCAAGAAGGATTCTAGCTTCATTTGAAGATTGTGGCATACTGGGTTGTTGTATAGTATTTGATCAGATAGTAATGATGTAAGATGAGGGATTTTTGGTCAGCATACTTGTCCGGTCAGCATGCTTATCAACCACGTTATCTCTTAATCCTTAATAATTATAAAAGCTATTACTTTACTAATTTTAAGAAATATTATTAAAAGTATAAAATTATTATATTTTATATATCTACTTATATATCTTACCTACTTTAGCCTCTTAATATTAGGTACTTTATAATACTAAAAAGGGCTTATAATTAAGAAATAAAGTATTTAATTAAATACTTTATAACTTATATTTCTAAGATTAAGTTCTTTTTAGCCTTTTATATTACTTTTAAGGTTACTTTTATAAAAAGTAATATCTAAGGGAGATTTAAAGAAGCTAGAATTACTTCTTTTAACCTAAAAGCTATAATCTTAAAGCTTAATATATAGCTATAAACTTTAACTCCTCCTAAGGAGGTTAATTAACCTTTAACCCCTTAGGCTTTAAGGACCCTAAATATAATATAAGAAACTAAATCTTAATCTAAATATATTATTAAATAAATTAGAAGATATTATAATAGCTCTCTAGAGTTAATTCTTAATACCTTTAATTATCTTTCTAAGAAGGCTAAGGCAGTTATATATAAGGTAGCCTTATTAATAGCTAAAAATAAAGAATTTTAATAAGTAAATAAGATATTAAGTTAGTATTAAAGTATAATAGTTAGAGTCTAATTATATTAAACTAAGCCATACTAGGTTTATTATTAGCAGATTGCATAAGGCATATAACTAAGCTTATCGAAGTGTTATATCTCTTAATAGTAGACTTAATATATATTAGGCTTAATTAATATAAAGAAGTTTTATTAATAGCTAATAAGCTAAGATCTATAAAAGTGTAAATAAATATATTTTATATACTAATAATAGTTATATAAGAGTAATATAATATAAGGTTATTATTAATCCTAGAATAATATAGTCTTAGAATACTATTAATCCTTTAATAGTTAGTTTTTCCCTGGTTAGTTAGTTATATAAGGAAAATTATAAGGTATATATAATATAACCGCTAGGGTTATAATATAATCTCTCCCCTCTGGTAGTCTTATCCCTAAGGCCTATTATCTTAATTATATCTTTCTTTTTTTAATAAGGTCTAACTTAAACCTTTTATTATTATATCTTATAATATTTAACTATATTTCTAAATAGTTATTTTATAAGGATTATAAAATCCAGATACTTATACTTTCTATTAAGTTTACTAATAAAGAAGCTAATATACCTTATACTTATTATTTCTATTTAGGCAAGAAATATCTAATATTTACTAATTCTACTTATTATAATAAGTATATTTAGGCTAAGAAGTCTTATAATAGTACTTATGTTATATCTTCTTATAAGTTATTATATATTATTTATTATTTTCTTATTAACTTTAGTAGTTATATCTTTAATAAAATAAGAGAAGAAATTAGAGAATAATAAGGATAAGATAAGTAAAGATCTTCTTAAGCTTTATAAGGAAATAGCAGTATTATAATCTTATTTAGCTTTGGCTGCTAGTTATTTATTAAGGATTTATAAAATTTATAATTATATAAAGGAAAAACATTCTAAGGCTACTTATTATAGTCTTTAGGAAGTAAATTAATAGGATATAATCTTATCTAGTCTAGATATATATAAAGATATATTACTTTAAGATCTTTAGGTAGATTATATCCCTAATAATA